CAGATGGTTACCCTAAGTGCTGCCCCAGCACATTCCTACTCACTTCCCAATGCCCAGGTCATCTCAGGATCAAGATATTTATGTTCCATAGAACAGCACTGATCAATAAACTGGAAACAGGTTATAATCAAACCACTCAGTTATGCAGGTTCATCATACTGAAGACAGGTTGAAGGGTAGTGATTGAAACTGCACTATCAGTCACGAGGGCCCTAACCAAAGCAGACTGGGGCCAAGCCTACTCTATTTATAACAATTTTTCCATTGTTTTTGAGGAGAAAGGATAGAGTTTAAGGAAGTCATTTAAAAGGATAAATGGGTACACATAAAATCTGAATCTAAAACCACTTTAACCAGTGGAAGAAATCAAATGCAAAGATCTTCAATGAAGTGCAAACACAGGACATATCTTGGAGAAAAATTTGTTCCAGCATTTTAATGTCTAGGAAAGAAGAAGTGTCTGCTTTTTGGGATTGATCCAAGCCCTCTGCCCTAATAAACTGTCTAAACTCAAGTTAATGACAGGTTCTGTGGGAAAGATGTTAGTAGGAGAGTGGATTGAATAAACTGAACACGAGTCAAGAATTTAAGAGGGCTATTAAAAGTAGAAGTTGGAGGGAGCCACTGCCTATCTCTATTTTAAGACGGTTTTGCTTCCACTTATTTGAAAATGTTCAAAAGATAAGGAGTATCTTCAAGATACAGTTCTCTGGCAGCTGCTGAATGATAAAATACTGTCTCTTAGAATCTCCAACAAACACCCTGCTGAGTGCAGATTCCGACACAGGGCTCAATCCCATGACCCTAGGATCATGACCTGAGCCAAAACCGAAGAGTGGAATGCTCAACTGACTGAGCCACCTAAGTACCCCAGTGAATATATCTTAAAAAAAAAAAAAAATGGAGATGTTTGCTTCAAGCCCTCTTCCAGTACAATTAATGATTGTAAATTAACCATCGCCTTGCTGAGTAATGCTATCTGTTGGTAAAAGGTTTATGGTTTATTTAATAAATGAAACTGCCAAATTAAAAAAAAATACTGTCTCTTAATAGAAATACCATTCCCTTGCAATGTCAGTTCGATGATCAAAAATACGGAGATGGAGGAGTTTGGAGGTAGTTGGTGTCAGAAAGGTGGCAGAAGACTATTCTAGATCAGGACAGACCTTGGACATGCAAGTTCTCTGCATGAATCCGCAATCTTTTTTTTCTCAAAGGAGACATTTAGAAAAGTTGCATAGAAAGACAGTCACCTATTCTGTTCTTGAAATTTAACAGAATATAACCAAAGATAAAAATTTTTGTTTGTGTTTTGTGCTTGGTTTTTACTTTTGTTTTTGTGTGGGCAATTAGAATTAAATCTGGGCAGTTCACACCAGAAGGGAGAGAACTTTGCTACCCGAAGAATACTACTTCTAGGGAAATAGGAAAAGGAGTGGGACCCCAGAAGAATGAGGTTGTGCTGTGTGGCACAGCAGGTGGAGAAAATGCAGAAGAAGCCTTCTTAGCCAGATTTACTTTCCACCACTTGGATAGACTACTCCTTTTTTAAAAATCGGGAAACTAAGGTAAAGTGATCCCAAGAGACTTTTTCAGGGTCATGTAGGAAACAGCAGAGCCTTGGATTTTTTTTTTTAAAGATTTATTTATGTATTTTAGAGAGAGAGCACAAGTGGAAGGAGCAGAGGGAGAGAGAATCACAAGCAGATTCCACACTGAGCGTGGAGCCCGATGCCGGGCTCGATCTCACGACCCTGAGATCATGACCTGAGCCAAAACCAAGAGTCTGTTGCTTAACCGACTGGACGACCCAGGCACACACCCCCGCCCCCAGCAGAGCCTTGTTTAAACCCTGCTCCAAAGCCTCAGTCTTCCCCACTGTGCTGTGTATTTGTCTCTATCATAACCTTTTTATGGGGTTGTATTTGTCTCTATCATAACCTTTTTGTGGGGTCCACCAGCAGGCTGGCACTCTGAAGAGGTAACCATTTGGATGTGGTTTGAAAAAAGAGTCTGAAGGGGCTGCAGTTGGGAATGAAGAGTAGTTGCCCCACCCTGAGGCAGGGGGACAGGGCAGAAGAGGCCAATGCTACCTATGATAACAGTGGCCTTGAGAGCTCCTGCCTATCCTTCGGGATCTTTTAGGTGGCAGAATGACCTCTCAAGCATAGCTGTTCTGCTTCACTAAACATAGCTAGGAAGGCAGACGGGTCAGGTAGTTTCCTAGGTGAGCCAAGTTTGCCATCAGAGAGATGCCTGAAGATGTGTTGAGTCATTCTTTGATTCAAGGCATTGTTCTAAGCTCTTTTTATGTCCCGACCTATTTAAATCTCTTTAGAACCCAGGGCTCCTGGGCGGCTCAGTCGGTTAAGCGACTGCCTTTGGCTCAGGTCATGATCCCAGGGTCCTGGGATGGAGCCCGGCATCGAGGCCCCGCTTTGGGCTCCTTGCTCCATGGGAAGCCGGCTTCTCCTATTCCCTCTGCCGCTCCCCCTGCTTGTGCACGCGCACTCTCTCTCTCTATCAAATAAATAAATAAAATCTTAAAATAGATAAATAAATAGATAAGTCTCTTTAGAACCCTATGAGGTCAGTTTTCTTAGCACCTCCCTTTTCTAGAAAAAGAAGGACACTGAGGCATATAATCCAGTGCCCTGCACTGTAGCCCAGACGGTGTGTGTAAGGGCCTCCATGCGGGTCTAAGGATGACCAACATCACTATTTGCCCTCATTTCACATTCCTTTATCTGCAAAGATACAGAAATTCTAGGTGATGGCAAAGACTCCAATACTGCAAAATGTGGGCCTGGAGGATCACGATTGCAATCTAGAACAGAGATCAGCAAACTACAGACAGCCCCTGGGCTAAATCTGGCCCGTTTCTGTAGTGTCCACAAACTAAGAGTGACTTTACATTTTTAAATGGTTGGGGAAGGGCGCCTGGGTGGCTCAGTTGGTTAAGCGACTGCCTTCAGCTCAGGTCATGATCCTGGAGTCCCGGCATCCAGTTCCGCATTGGGCTCCCTGCTCGGCGGGGAGTCTGCTTCTCCCTCTGACCCTCCCCCCTCTCATGTGCTCTCTCTCTCTCATTCTCTCTCTCTCAAATAAATAAATAAAATCTTTAAAAATAAATAAATAAAAAATAAATGGTTGGGGAAAAAAATCAAAAGAAGACGATTTGGTGACATGGAAATTACATGAACTTGAGCTGTCAGTATCCATAAATTAAGATTTAGCAAGACACAGGCAATATGGTTATGCCTACTTTCATGCTGTGGTAACAGCACTCAGTGGTTGCATCAGAAACCAAAAGTCCCACAAGCCTAAAATATTTACTACGTGGCCCTTTATAAAAGAAATGCTGATGCCTGATATAGGATCATGCGGTTAACATAATTGCCTAATATTTTCAGGGAAAAATTTTTGTCATAATTGTGAGTTTAACCAAAAGCCTCCCCTTTTGCACAGAAAAAGGTTATTAAAAAAAGATTCTGAATAAACATATTTCACAAAAGACTTTTTTTTTTTAAGATTTTATTTATTTATTTGAGAGAGAGAGAGCTCAAGCAGAGGGAGTGACAGAGGGAGAGGGAGAAGCAGACTCCCCGCTGAGCAGGGAGCCCGATGCGGGGCTCGATCCCAGGACCCTGGGATCATGACCCGAGCCAAAGGCAGGCTGAGCCACCCAGGTGCCCCCACAAATGACTTTTTAAATAGCATCTGCAGCATGTATACATAAGATATAGAAATACATTTATATTTCTATTTGCTAGATGTTAGTACTCTGCTTGTTTTCAAAGAAAGTCTGGTTGGCCCGATGTTTGCAGTGATCTTTACGGCTGTCAAGCCCTTTCATGGTGACATTAACTTATCTGATAATTCACAAATACTGGAGGTCCTGATCAACAGTAATAAAATAGTCACTGAGCTGTATGAATGCCAGCCATCCTTTTATTGAATGATCGTGCACTGCTCTGCTCCTGGAGTTTTTCTGGAACCTACTTCATCCTCTGTCCGCCACCTCTTGACGAGGGTGCCCCGTTCCCCAGTGCTACGTCCCTCTTTTAATCTGTGACTTCTTATCTGTTCAGTTCCGAGTCAGTTTGTTACGATTGTGTCTAAACGAAGAGTCCAGAGGCTAAGTCTCAAGGGGGATTCAAAGTACGTGACCTTTAATGCTTAAAGCAAAGATGATAAACTGGCATCTTTAGGGCCAAATGCAGTCTTTGGGGGTGCATATGCATGCATGCACTTGTGTCTTACAAATGTGTTAGTGACTTGGTAACATTTAAAGAGTTTGGGATTTAATATATATATAAAATTCAGCTTTCTCACTTCTCTTAAAATATCTGAAGAGTTGGCAGCACTGGCCCTATGGCCAGCATGGCATTAATAGCTGGCGCTGAGCTGGAGCTGCTGCTTGCTTTAGGTGGGACCCAGGCTCTTCGCTGCAGTCCCCACCCTCCCCTCACCCTCAAGGTGTCCATGACACCTTGGCCAAGTGTTCGCTGCCACTTGTGAACTTACTAGCCCTGTCTTTCCCTTCCTCCACCAGCTTCACTTCCTTTTTTCATTTACGGTCCTCTATACGTTCCAGTGTGAGTCCAGTCCACGGCGTTGTGATCGTTGTTTTGGTTGCTGGGAGATCTTGTTTACTTTCTGGATCTCCCGTGCAGCCAAAGTCTTTCGGGTTGTCAGACTGACACCCAATGGTGTACCCTTGGCAGAGTTGAGGGCGCCCATCAAAAAGCATCACCTTGATTCTGTAGCGATAATTAAACTGGGAGGAGCGATCTGAGGTCAAGGAGAACTATGAGCACTTGGGAAGGAGTCAGGCTCGGATTCCTCCCCTGCCCCTGTGACCACCGCACCAGCATTCGCGGTTACCTCTCGCGGCCCAGTTGCGGTGGACACAGAGCTCCTAGAACGTTCATGAGAACTACGGGCCTGTGAGGGAAAAAAGATCCCACAGTGTTCTCAGAAAGCCCCCCGAGCCTCACCTTTTGCTTCCATGTTGAGCTGAGGGGATTATGCACAGTTAGCCGCTGTCCGGGTGCTATCTCCTTGTTGGTGATGTTCAAGATTATCCTGGGACCGAGAGAGGCAGGGAGTGTGATACAAAATGTCCACATGACGACAGTGTTCAGTTTGTGAAGCCAACTAGAGTGAACAGAGCAGAAATAACGTACTGGTTGGAAGTTGATAGCTTAGCCCGCCTAGTGATTTGCTAGAAGAAAATGCCTGTTCAGTTGCCCCAGATACCAAGCAAAACAAACCTACCCTCTGGGCTAAGTGCTTAGCAGGCATCCCATTTTCAAGACAGGTTGTTCATCCAAAGCACTGTAAATAAGGCGGGACAGACTATAGAAGGGTTTCTGGGGTACTGGTGTTTTGAACTGTCAATCACCTCACACCACTCCCCACCCCATTTGCAATCTGCTTTGACTAAATCATGATTAAAGATTTGTTGGGTTTGCTTTGGATGGGCATTCCAGCGGGGCTCCCTCTTGTGCGGTCAAGGCTCAAGGCAAAAAGAAGGAAGAACCCACAGAATCTGTGATGAGAGCCCCGTGCCTCCCCTCCTCCCTTTGGCTCTTTCCCTCCTGCTCTCCACAAGTCTGACCAAGGATGTATTTTTCAGAAAAGGGTGTCGCTCTAACTAGAATGAAGGGAAGTGAAGGCATCCAAACGGACAATTCAGTTCCTCCCTTCCCATAGCCGTATTTCTACTTTTTGTCTGGGCCAAAGGGGGCTAGCGATGGGGAAGAAAAAGAATGGGATTTAACCTCCCCTCGTGTTCAGTGGGAATAAATCAACCCAGTGGAAATGTTTCTCTTTTCCATTACTAAGAACAGAAGTCAAAATATCAGTTCATTCACACGGTAAGAAATGTTGGATATTTTTCAAAAGAGAAATGACAACAGTAACTGGTAATGCGTATTGAACACGTGGTCGTATACCCAAACCCTCAACAAGAGTCATCGCATTTACTGTTCTTCACAACCGCGAGAAATGGGAACCACTGTCATTTTTCCATCTCACAGAGGAAGAACCCGGGGCTAAGAGAGGTTAAGTAATTTTAGCCTGGTCTCTCAGCTGGTCACTGACCAGAGGCGATTTGAAGCCAAATAGACCGGCTTCAGCATCTGGACAAGGGAGCTGCAGAGTGAAGGTTTCTGGCTTGAGTCCAGCTGAATGACTTTGGAAAAAAAATATTCTTCTTGCCTTCCATTTCCTCATCTGTAAAATAAAGGGTCGTATTAGATGATCTTTGAGTCTGTTTCCAAATCAATACCCGTCACCTCCAGGCCACTCTTGTCATTCATTAGCTCCGTGGATTATAGTAAACTAAGGGGGGTGTGGGACAGGAAGGGGGCAGGGAGATTGCCGCGTTATACACCAAACACTTTCCTAACAGAGACAACTGCTCCAATGGCCACACGGTGCCCAGACAGGTAGGAAGGCTGGGTGACTGCAGGCTGAGAGGGGGGCAGGCCACTTTCAGCTACCACTGTGGCTGCCACAATTGATGTTTTTTTTTTAGCTGGACGAGTTACTTTCCCCCAGAAGCATCCTTACCACCCTCCTAAGTCTACAGCGCACTCCACATTTGCTGAGTGCTCCAGGCACCTGCAGAGGTGAGCTATGACAACCACTCTGTAATGTGACCAGACCTGCTGGGCTTCCAGTCCTGCCTCCCCTGAATTACACTGACTGGTACTTCCAGGAATTTTGCAGCAGCCCTGAAGCCTTTGTTGTTTCTTCAGAGTAAGGAAGTGGGAGAGAGGGGGCTGGGTGGGAAAGAGACTTCTTTGATTTCTATGAAATGGCCTCAGATCGGAAGATGTCAGACTTTTCCAAAGACCAGTGGCAAGTGACTCCCCATATTGTAGATACTGCCGTGTCAGGAGTTCAAGATATCTGAAGCTCTGTGTGAAAATGGGAACCAACTTTCTGGGAGCAATGACTATCACCTTTCCCTCTCGCGTGCAAACGGAAGTGTGTTTCTTTCATTTATGTCATCCACACCGACCCTTTAATGTTACAAGTCACTGCTAGGTTCCTTCTGCCCTCATCCCATGCCCCAAGAGTGTAATTCTTTTTTCTCTTCCCATACATAGCCTACACAAACATGTATATGCTATGTAACACCACTGGAAACGGATTTAACCCAGCTCGCCACAGACTCTTTGGCCATTGATAATCTTTTACCTACGCCCATTACAAGTGCATTTTTTTTTCTTATCTGTGTCTGTGTGCCCAGAGGTAGAAATAACACTGAAATGCAAAAGAGGGGCAGAGAAACGGGAAGACGAATAAAGCCGAGGGGCAGAAGTCCTAAATGTTGTGGTTTGCAAGGCGGGCTGGCAGTTTGCGGGGGCGAAGCAGAAAAAGTAGAAGCACTTACTCTAAAAGGCGAGGAGGAGAGAGCTGCAGAAGAGCCGGGAGATCAGATCCGAGTTGATGGGATGGAAGGGGGGCGGGGTGAGGCGAGGGAAACTCAGCCCCAGTGAAAAGGACCCGTCAGTCCTTTCCAGAACGTAATTTGCTAAGATCCGCCACTTGCATTTCGTATGCATATGAGGAGGGCTTCCCGGAAGCGGGGCTGGGCTGAGCGCCGCGCTGCTGGCTGCTCGGGATTCAGCACCCGGAGTCCGAGAAGAGCGGTGCGAGCTAGGGGAGCATCTCTCGTCCGGCCCGCGCCGCAGAGGATGGACGCCACGCTGGAGCGGACAATAAATGAGGATTGAAGGACTCAAGCCCTCTGGAGAAGCTTGCCGAAATTCAAGACTGGGAAGACAGGCGGTTCAACCTCTTCACACTTGCGGGTTAAGGGACTGGTCATTTCTCAATCCCTGGAGAGAGATTCCTTCCCCAAGGAAGTGAAAATAATGAACTTTTGGAGGTACTGCTTTTTTGCTTTCACTGTGTTCAGTGGGGTTATTTTTGTGATATTTTATAATAGCCCGTTACACCTGCCAAAGAATTTCGGGACGCTGAATAGCTCCAGTCACAGGTATTTTAGAATACATGCCTGTGATAACGCCTTAGAAGATAAGTCCACTTTTTTGTGGGGAAAGACCTTGCCATCACCTTTGGGGAGTGTCCCGTGTAAGGACTACCTGATCCAAAATCACTACATCACCAGCCCCCTGTCGGAAGAAGAAGTTGCTTTTCCTTTGGCTTATGTCATGGTCATCCATAAGGACTTTGATACTTTTGAAAGGCTCTTCAGGGCTATCTATATGCCCCAAAATGTCTACTGCGTTCACGTGGATGAGAAAGCCACAGCTGAGTTTAAGGAATCTGTGTGGCAGTTACTGAGCTGCTTCCCAAATGCTTTTGTTGCTTCCAAGGTGGAGCCAGTGGTCTATGGGGGCATCTCCAGGCTCCAGGCTGACCTGAACTGTCTAAAAGACCTCGCGGCGTCCAAGGTGCCGTGGAAGTACGCCATCAACACGTGCGGGCAAGACTTCCCCCTGAAAACCAACAAGGAGATAGTTCGGTATCTGAAAGGCTTTAAAGGGAAAAACATTACCCCGGGAGTGCTGCCCCCAGCTCACGCAATCAAGCGGACTAAATTCGTCCACCGGGAGCATATAGGCAAAGATGGCTCCTTTGTAAAAAATACTAATATTTTGAAAACCTCACCTCCACATCAGCTGACCATCTACTTTGGCACTGCCTATGTGGCCCTTACCAGAGAGTTTGTCAACTTTGTCCTCCATGACAAAAGGGCCATTGATCTACTACACTGGTCAAAAGATACTTACAGCCCCGATGAACATTTCTGGGTGACACTTAATAGGATTCCAGGTATGTGCTGATTTCCATTCCAATTTTTTCTTACTCATAGATTGAGTTCACTAACATCCAACGCTTCTAGAGAACAGACTTGTTTGAAATTATTTGAAAAAAAAAATTTAATGCTTAGAAAACTATTAGTCTGGTTGCTTTTTAGTGACCAGCTTAGTGCCAACTGTCTTGTAACTCTGTGCGGTATAGTGATCTAAGAAGTATGCAAGAGCTGCCGGAGCTCTGGCAAAGCTGTCTTTGATCTGTATCATGTAGCTCAGTCTTTTGTTTGTGTGTGTGTGTGTTTTTTAATTGAAGTGTAATTGACATATACTAGCTCAGTCTTGTGAATGAATGCTTTTCATGTCCTTGATAAGCACAGCCATAACGTGTTGAAATTGATTTTTAATAAGCATTCTAGAATTTATGACTTGAAATAGGTAGTGTTTCTTTCAGAGCATGTCACACAGTATCCCATTCATCCTCAAAGTCATTGCTCAAAGTCGGTGGGGCTGTTTTTAGAATCTGTGAATCTTCTTTGGAAGTTGATAAATTGTCTCTTCAGTTAAATGTCTCTAATCTGAGACCTGATCAAGTACCCAGGTCTCAACTAACTTGGTTCAACAAAAACAGTCTGATATTTTGTTGTCGAGAAGAATGGGTAAAATGAATTGGAATCCCCAGAGCTGATCAACAGCTGGAGGTGATCCAAAGTAAATTCTCAATTTCGAAGTCACAGATTACTGGAAATTCCACTTTGCAGTCTCTTGATTTCATAGACTGGGAAGCCTTTTCTGTTGTTTATGATAATTTGGAAAGGGGTCCGAGGTACGCCCGGCCACTGAAGGCAGAAAACAGCTCCAAATTCCCTCTTTGATTCAGGACTGAGTTTCTTTTCAAAATTCTGTTTTCCGTATGTTGTCTGCGAACACCTGTGTGCCCGTAGCACCTGTTCCTGGTGATGGCCCAATAAACGAGTTTCCACTGTTGTGACAGCATGGCTGTGGTTATCAACCCTTGTGAGGGTGGCCCTATCCCTGCGCTTATGTGGACTATTGTTATCAAGGACACATTTGAGTGAGGTTTCAAGCTACCTTCATAGCTGAAAGTAGATTCATAGCTGTGACTCTTTTCTCAATTATTCGGCATTCCTAAGAGCCAAGTTGGAGTGGTGGTCACAAAGTCTACTCAGGGCAGAAAGAGGACAGGCAGGGTGACTGGGAACAGAGACATGTTCTATCCTGTGGGCTACTGAATTGTCAGATCACAAAGACTTGTCGGAGTGGGAGTAAACCAGCACTTACCAGAGTGTAGTGAGTGTTCATTCTTACTGTTTACAAATGACTATTTTAAACACATGTAAATATGCACTAGGTGGCATCTAATACTGTTTTGGTTAATATAGTTTGCTCCAGATGTATGTTCTACATCATTTCTTTCAAGGATAAGAAATAATCATTGTTATCCTCATGTACAGAGGAAGAAAAGGAGGCTTAGAGAGATTGAAGTAATATGCTCCTCTTTACACAGCTTGTCCAAGCAAAGCTGGGATCTAATCCTGGATTCGTGTGACCTGAAGTTTGAACTTGCACCAGGAAAGGAAGGAATAATCATTTCTTCTTTCCTATATCTAAAGCAAATTCCCGGGGCGCCTGGGTGGCTCAGTCGGTTAAGCGTCCTACTCTCGATTTCAGCTCAGGTCATGATCTCAGGATCCTAAGATCAAGCCCTGCATTGGGCTCTAAGCTCAGTGTGGAGTCTGCTTGTCCCTTTCCGTTCCCCCTGCTTGTTCTCACGCACTCACACGCACTCTCTCTTTCTTTCTCAAATAATAAATAAAATATTAAAAAAAAAAAAAAAGTAAAGCAAATCCCCTGCAGAATTCCCGAAAGGGGATAGGGTAAGGATGGGGGGGGGGGGAGAACAGTGGAAGTAAACTCCACCTGACCACTTTAAGCTGGAAATAAGGTTAGCAGGAATATGGAGTGCTAGTGTGTGTGTGTGTGTGTGTGTGTGTGTGTGTGTTGGAACACAGTGAACATGCTGAGGCTTAGCAGGGCCACTGTGCCAGCTGGAGTCATGGGAAGGTGTCCTTGCCAGAACTGATTGCCAGCCCCACACAGGCTTCTGTGCCAGTTTCCTCAGTCCCCATCTGCAACAGGCTTTGGTCTGGCTCTTCCTTCTATGAGCCAGTGGAAATGGGAGGTGTTCTTCAGTTAATGTTCTTACAAAAGGCTGGTGAGGGGAGGAGCAACCAGGCTGAGACTCTGAACCTAATCACTGTGAAGTATCTTTTTTTTTATTTTTATTTTTATTTTTATTTATTTTTTATTTTTTTTAAAGATTTTATTTATTTATTTGAGAGAGAATGAGAGAGAGCACATGAGAAGGGGAGGGTCAGAGGGAGAAGCAGACTCCCTGCCGAGCAGGGAGCCCGATGCAGGACTCGATCCAGGGACTCCAGGATCATGACCTGAGTCGAAGGCAGTCGCTTAACCAACTGAGCCACCCAGGCGCCCCACTGTGAAATATCTTGAGGACTTTGTCTTTACAATGAGTAGAAGTCTTTTTTTTTTTTTAAAGATTTTTTTTTTTTCTTAAGTAATCTCTACACCCAACCTGGAGCTCGAATTTACAACCCCCGAGATCAAGAGTCACATGTTCTACCGACAGAGCCAGCCTGGCGCCTCTTGTTCATTTTACATATACTGTTTTTAAGTTTACCCCAAAAATACAGAGAAAAAGAAAAATGATCTTTATTTTAGGCACCCTATTGTTCGTGAGAAACAAAGGACTACTGGATATGTTATTTATTTACATAGATCATATGCAGATATTTAGGAAGCTGATTTTAATTTAAATGCTTACGTTTTTCTTATTTGGAAGCATTTTATAATCCGGACCCAAACCGTTTGGTGGAACTAAGTCTCCAGCGATCTTTGCTTCCCAGAACGCAACAATGGCAAGTGCGTGCAACTCTCAGATAGGTTAGTACAATGCTTGTTTCCTTGCGTCAAGCTTTGCAGTGGCTTTTCATTATCTTGAGGATCAGGTTGAAGTTCTTATTGTGACATGACCTCCATGACCTGACTCCTCCTCCCCCTTGCCCTTCCCTGACCCATCTCTCTACTTTCTTTTTACTTGATGCCTCAGACTTCATGTTCCAGCAACTCCTTAGCCCTACACACTTTCCCAATTTTCACTTAATTTGGGGGGGGGGTGCAGTCTTTGGGATATCCCTCCTACCATCTCTGTGTAACTCCGATTCATCCTTTATAATCCACCTTGGATGGCACCTCTGGAAGCCGTCTCCAATCACCCACCTCCCAGATCATTGGTACTCCAACTCTGGGTTCTCCTCTACTCAGTGCACTGCTACCAGCATTGGATTATAATTTCCTGCTAAGTGCGGATCTCCTCTGCCCTACCCCCTCAGCGTTTGGGTTCCTTAAGGGTAAGAAATAGGACGACCATCTTTGTCTTCCCTATCACTACCCCACACTACCACCTACCACCGTGCCTGACTTGAGGATTTATAGTTTGCTGGATGGCTGTGGGGAAGGTGTGGGGAGGGGCTAGATAGTTATGAGAAGCTTGGAAGGATGTATAAAAGTGTCCTGTCTCTGGGTGGGGTGGGGCGAATTTTCGAGTAAGGATTGGAGAAAGAGGAGGTAAGATACTGCTTGGAGGTGTCATTCCACAATAACGAAGTCCCACCAATGGTATCAGTAAAGAGAAAGAGAAAGATACCAGAAAGACGTTGTAGAAATTGGCAAGCCCCAGAGTTCCAGCTGAAATGTTAATAGGGCAAAGTTCCTCCTTAAAAAAATCTGGTTTCCAGGTAGCCGCTCTGGGCCCATCATGCATTCGCATCTGATTCCAGGAGAAAGCACTGGTACCCCATGTGGGTGCCTCCAGTTAGTTCCCACCTTACTTGCACCTGGTTTGAGTTTCTCCCACAACCTGGCACCCACCCAACCCTGCGGGTGGTACTTCTTCCTGACCTACTCAACGTTCCTGCAGTGGGCTTCTACTGCTGTAATTTGATCTAGGCTGCTTCATAGCTAATGGATTAGGAAAAACAAAACAAAACAAAAACCCTGAGTATAAGGAAATGAAAGGCTAGGAAAAGCCAACAATAGAAAGAAAACTTGAAACATTTCTCCAGGTGTAGCTCCCAGCAAATGTACACAGTGCGCCGTTGAGAAGCTATGTGTTCTCCACGGAAAGGTTACCAGGCCCTTAAATCTGGGCAGGGCTGGCTCAGTCCCAGTTCTTTTCAAAGTATGTATTGTATGCTCTGTACATCAGCCTAAATTTAGAAGTCAGTTTCGAGAACCACAAAGGATGCATTCAATCATGCTGACTGTACATGACCGAGAATTAGAAACATTGATGGCCTGGTGGAGTCCTGTCCTCATGAATGTCATTAGAACAGTCAGGTCTACCAGAAAGCTGAGTTTGTGTGTGTGGCCAGATGATAATCCACACTGGATGTGGAGATAAATTCTGGTTGAAGGAGAAATTATATAAAACAGAAACTTCCATGGGTCCTTATCCATTTAACAGTTTTAAAATGATACCACTTTAGGGGCACCTGGGTGGCTCAGTTGGTTGAACGTCCGAGTCTTGATTTCAACTCAGGTCATGATTTCGGGGTCATGAGATTGAGCCCCTCATCAGGCTGGGCGTGGAGCATGCTTAAGATTCTCTCTCTGTCTCTCTCCCTCTGCACCCCCCACCATGCATGTTCTTTCTCTCTCTCTCTCTCAAAAAAATAAATAAAATGATGCCACTTTTGTATAGCCAGATAATACCAAATACACATAATAAATTTGGATATGATTTTTAAAATATTATGTCAGTGATTTGGGCCTTTTGCCCTGTTTTTCCTCCATTAGAAAAGGGCTCAAGGCTCTTCTCGGGCCAGTAATTTGGGGCAGATTTATGATTTACAATTTATCCTGGCTCTTGAGTACCTAGACTGGTAAGTTTATATCATGAAATGGTGAGCTCTGGTA